AATTTTTTAAACAACGAGATTTTTTTTTTGCGTTTTTCTATTGACGTCTGTTTTCCACAACCTTCCTGGGCAATTTATTCCAGTATTTGACTACCCTGACAGTTAGGACATTTTTTCCTAATGTCCAACCTAACCCTCCCTTGCTGCAGTTTAAGCCCATTGCTTCTTGTTCTATCCTCAGAGGCCAAGATGAACAAGTTTTCTCCCTCCTCCTTATGACACCCTTTTAGATACCTGAAAACTGCTGTCATGTTCCCCCTCAATCTTCTCTTTTCTGAGCTAAACAAACTCAGTTCTTTCAGCCTTCCTTCATAGGACATGTTCTCTAGACCTTTAATCATTCTTGTTGCTCTTCTCTGGACCTTCTCCAGTTTTTCCACATCTTTCTTGAAATGTGGTTCCCAGAACTGGACACAGTAATCCAACTGAGGCCTAACCAGCGCAGAGTAGAGCGGAAGAATGACTTCTCGTGTCTTGCTCACAACACATCTATTAATGCATCCTAGAATCCCCTAGATACCTTTCTGCCATACTCCTTCCTAGACAGTCGCTTCCCATTCTATATGTGTGAAACTGATTGTTCCTCCTGGAGCACTTTGCATTTGTCTTTATTAAACTTCATCCTGTTTACCTCAGACCATTTCTCCAATTTGTCCAGATCATTTTGAATTATGACCCTATCCTCCAAAATAGTTGCAACCCCCTCCAAGCTTGGTATCATATGCAAACTTAATAAGCGTACTCTCTATGCCAATATCTAAATCGTTGATGAAGATATTGAACAGAACCGGTCCCAAAACAGGCCTCTTTAATGAAAAAACTTGGAGCAATTTCCAAGCAGGAAACAAAATTGATTCAACACTATACAAAGAAAATGCGGCTCTCCCTGATGTTAAGGCATGTTGCTATCAAACCCACAAATCATACTGTCTGGGGAGAAGACTGTGTTGATTACCAGAAAATTCATGAATCCTGTCCCATAGAGCCATCAAATAAACCTGGTTGGGTCAACTCAACCAGTGTCACCTAGTTCCAAAACCAATCTCCAAAACCAAACTAAGCTAATTTGAACTAACACGTCTAGAACTAAAAAATAGTTCGAATTAGCGTTTTGCTAATTCGAACTAGCATGTCCACATTGAGTGGACCCTGTACAGGGCTTAAGGATGGCCGGAAGCAGTGCCGGCAGGGCATCAGAGGAGGACTTAGAGCGTGGAGATGCTGTCTCAGGCTAGCCGAGGGCTGCGCTTAAAGGGACCCGACCCCCACCCCGGACAGACAGTTCTCAGGGGTGCCCCGCTTGAAAACCAGTCCTGGCTTGGAGTGCCCGGAATGCCCACACTGGGCACATCACAGCACTCGGCCATCAGCCCGGCTGCACTTGCCGCAGGCTGCCATCTGGGGAGAGGGGGAAATTGGGGGGCTGCAGGAGAGCTTCCACCCCCAGAAGCCCGCAGAGCCAGCCCAGTCCTCCCCATCGGGGGCTCGTACCCCATTCCCCCCTCACCTCCTTCCACTTACCCTTCCCTAGCCCCTTTTCTTGATGTACAAAATAAAGGACAATTGTGTTCAAAAATGGAATCTGTCTTTATTGAAAAAAACTGGGGGAGACTGGGAAAAGGAGGTGGGAGAGGGGAAGAGAAAGGCTGGGAGAGGGGAGGTCAACTAACATGATCAGGGGTTGGGAACAGGTCCCAGATGAAGAAAGGCTACAGAGACTGGGACTGTTCAGCTTAGAAAAGAGGAGACGGAGGGGGGATAGGATAGAGGTCTCTAAAAGCAGGGGTTGGGTGGAGAGGGTGCATACAGAAAAGTTCTTCCTGAGTTCCCATAAAGAAGGACTAGAGGACACCAAAGGAAAGGAATGGGTATCAGGCTTGAAACTAGTAAGAGAAAGTTGTTCTTGACAAAGCAAATAGTTAACCTGTGGAACTCCTTGCTGCAGGAGGCTGTGAAGGCTAGAACTAGAACAGAGTTTAAAGGGAAGTGAGATCAAGTCATGGAGGTTGGGTCCATGGAGTGGTATTAGCCAGGGGGTAGGAGTGGTGTCCCTGCCCAAAGTTTGTGGAAGACTGGAGAGGGATGGCACGAGACAAACGGCTTGGTCACTGTCTTCGGTCCATCCCCTCCAGGGTTCCTAGGGTTGGCCAACGCATGAGATCCTTGATTATATCCTTTTCCTACACCAGGTGGGTCTTTCGATCTCTACGCTGAGAGTTCACCTCTCAGCAATCATCGCTTTCCATGCCACCACCGAAGGCCATTCCATCTTTGCTCATCCCATGACCAAAAGACTGCTTAAGGGAATAGCTAACCTTAAACCTCCATGAAGACCTGTCTCCCCCACTTGGAGTTTGGATTTGGTCCTCGGCACATTAATGTAGCCACCCTTTGAGCCACTAGCCACCACGTCGTTATTGATGCTCAACACAAAAGTGGTATTCTTATTGGCAATTATATCCACTCGTAGAGTGAGCGAACTAGCAGTGTTAATGGATCTCACTGCGTGCGCAGTCAATGGACACAACAACATAAAGTGACCACTGTGCATGCACGGTGCAGCAAGACACTGCGAAGGGAAAAATGTCCAATAGCTGTCACAAGGACGCACCGACACCTAGAATGGAGCACAACACAGGGACACACATTTCGAAGAAACATCGATACAGCACAAGGTGAGTAACTTTGTCTTGGACTGGATTCAAAATCCCCGAGAGAGCCAGTGAGAGAGAAAGGTGTCTTGTACAGCATCCTGATGGTTACACCACCTGTACATGTTTAGCTTTCTGCACATGAGTTGTCTGATACACAGGAAATACTCGAATACACTAAAAAAACCTTTAAAAACCACAATGGTTCTATAGCACCTTAGCGACTAACAAAAATATATAAATAGTATCATGAGCTTTTGTGGGCACAGCCCACTTCTTCAATTGACAAATATGGAGCAAGGGGCACAGATTTTGAAATATAAAGCACTACAGTACAATTAAATAATGGCCACATTTCTACCAGCTTATACCGGAAACCTACCAACTGTTATACTTACCAATATGCCTCTAGCTTATATCCAGGACACCTTACCTGATCCATTGTTTACAACCAGGCCCTAAGATACAACCGGATTTGCTCCAATCCCACAGAGACAAACGCCTACAGGATCTCTATCAGGCATTCTTAAAACATAAATACCCACCTAGGGAAGTGAAAAAACAGATTGACAGAGCCAGACGAGTACCCAGGAATCTGCTTCTTCAAGACAGGTCCAACAAAGAAAATAATAGACCACTACTGGTCATCACCTATGGCCCCCAGCTTAAACCCCTCCAGCACATCATTGACAATCCACATCCTATCCTGGAAAACGACCCCTCACTCTCAGAGGCCTGGGGAGACAAGCCAATCCTCACCTACAGACAACCCCCCAACCTGAAAAATATCCTATCCAGCAGCCACACCTCACACCTCAAACATACTCACTCAGGAACCCACCTCTGCAATAAACCCAGATGCCAGCTTTGTCCACACATCTACATAAGTGATATCAATACAGGACCTAACCACATAAGCCTCCACATCAGAGGCTCATATAACATCACATCCACCAATGTGATCTATGCCATCAAGTTCCAGCAATGCCCCTCTGCCATGTATATTGGTCAAACTGGACAGGTTAATGGACAGATATTCAAAGTAGTAACACACAGAAACCTGTTGGAGCATTTAAACCTGCCCGGGCACTCATGAATGGATTGAAAAGTAGATATTCTCTTACAAAACAATTTCAGGAATCAACTAGTCTCTGCAGAACTAGCCTTCACATGCAAATTTGATACTATCTTGCAGGGCCTGAACACAGACATGAACTGGATGAGCCATTATATCCCGCACCCAAATGACTTCAAAGGCTAAGTATCAGCCCACTTACAGCCCACTATTAACCCCATTTAGCTGGGACACTTTAATTGACAGGTTTTTTTCGTTCTCCTCTCCCTCTCCACTCTTTTTCTGCTTTATATTTCAAATTCTGTATTTGCTCCATATTTGTCTTCTGAAGAAGTGGGTTGTGCCCATGAAAGCTCATGATACTATTTATATATTTTTGTTAGTCTCTAAGGTGCTACAGGGCCATTGTTTTTTTATGTTTTTTTAGTTACAGACTAATGGGGCTACCCCTCTGAGACTTTCAAATACAGTAGTGTGTCTTGGGGCCCTAGACCTTAAAGGACAAGATTTCAGGTCTTCTACTGAGTTTCTGGTCCCCAACCGTCCTCTGGGCCTACTGCACTGCAAGAATGCTTAAGCATTAAATGCAGGTCAATGATACATGGATAGCTTCTAGTCTTGGCCTTCACAACATCTTCTGGCAGGGAGTTCCACAAGTTCACTCTGTGTTGGGTAAAGAAATACTACTGCCTTTGGTTTCTTTTAAACCTGCTGCCTGTTAATTTAATTTTCTCTGTCCCCACACACCTTTCTATCCATCCCCATCCCCGTCCCCACCCATCTGTAGTAAGATGAGGGCCTGAAACATAAGCCCATGCATCATGGGCCTTGTTTGAGGCCTGAGGCCTAGTTAACAATGGGCAAAACATGGTTAACATAAAGCAAAGCTAAGCTGTAAGCAAGAGGCAGGCCCCAGCTCACAGAACTTGGCACAAACTAGGAAGCCTAGTTCGAACTACCTAGTTCGTGCCGCGTGTAGCCGCGCTGCACGGGGTTCGAACGAGTGGGGATTTAAAAATGGCGGAGCCCCGCTTATGCAAATGAAGTCTGGGAAATTCAAATCCCAGGCTTCATTTGCAAGTGCAGTATGCCTACATTACCCTCCTAGTTCGAACTAGGAGGGTAGTGTAGACATACCCTTACTGTACTTCGCTCTACAGTAAACCTGGCCTGGCACCTTCGATCCTTATCTGGGTTGTGGTCTTTGGGGGCTCTCTTGGGGTCTGCTGTGGAGACTAAGTGCACAAGTCGACACGCACACATCATTGAGCACACACGCAAGCAGCCTTCTGGTTCTCATCATCAACGGAGCCAGAGACCTGTGAGGACACCTCTGCAGTAAATCCTGACTGACTGCCTTCCTGAAGAACTGCACCATCCACCCTCCATTCCATACACACCCGTCCATCCACCCCCAATATACCCCTTTCTCCATCCATCCCTCCATCTTACTCTCAACTTGAACTCCAGGTTAATGCTTTTTTTTTCTCATGAGAACTTCCATTCTTACAGAAAAAAATTAAGTACTTTATTTTCACCTGTCTAAAATACTCTCTTTCATTTGTCTAAATTGTAAGCAACATGTAAGGAAGATTTTAGTCTCAAAATCTATCCTCCCTCTTCACACTGGTCTATTTATCCACCTAATCCCATATACATGCCTCTATTTATTCGTACATCTCCTGTATGCCTAGCTACCTACGCCACAATTCACTCATGATTTTTGCAGTTACATAACTAAATCTTTAGACACCATAATATCACCTTAATTAAGTCTGTCACCTAGAATTTCCTTTCTTGAATTACTTTATTAAGCACTCTAACTCTAGTTTTCCATACACACCTATCCAATCTCTCCCTATCTACTCTCTTATATGTTCCTCTGTGTAGCTCTCCCCATACATGCCTCTGTATCTAACCAAATTATATTGATTTATTTTCATACACACCCTTATTCTCTCTGTCCCTATATACTCCCCTTGTCTAGCTGTTCTCATACTTTCCCACCTTTTATATACACCATATTTGCTACCCTATCTAGAGCCATGAAGTTTTATAGAAGCCCACCCCTCCCTTCCTTTTCCAGGTGCAGATCTGCCTGTGGCTTGCAAGGATCTGCCCCTAAACCCAGCACTAGCCCCCCTCTCCCCCCAAGGGCCTTGGGGCTGCATCTTTCTGAATACAGAGGGATTTGATTTGGTGGTGGTATTTTTCCAGGGAGGAGAGACGCTCTCCCCAGCTGTGTGTGAGGAGTGTAAAGCTAGCGGAAATCCAAGGCATTTCCATGCCCGGATACTGCTTGCAAAAGCTTTTCCCACAAAAGGCGGGGAGGAAAGATGTGGGGGAAGTCAAAGAGATCTTGCAAAGAGGCAGAAATGTCTATCTGATTTCTCTTCCTCTGGCCCTAGCTGCTAGTGGTGTGTGCAGCAGATTGCTGGCGGCGGGTAGTTTTGCGTTGTGGGAATTGTTCAGTGCAGGGGTCTAACAATCCTGTGTATTTTTTTCTTCCCTTTCTGGCTCTGGGAATTGGTCAGTTTTGGAAGAGGAAATCCACTAAAGGCAAAGACCCAGCCAGCGTGTAAGTAGCCAGGGTCCCCTCTCTGGGGTGGGGTGGCGTGGGAGAAATAATGCTCTGCCATCACTAACTTCTAGAGAGAGGTGCAAGCTCCCCGCTCCTTTCTTTCAGATGGGGGCTCCCTGAGCAGAGACAACAAAATGCAGGGTAAGAAAAGGGCAGATTTAATTTTCCATCTTGCAAGGATAAGTTGCCCCCAGCCTCTGTCTGGCACAGCCCCCTTGGTTTGCCTGTTCTTTTAATGCCCCGAGGAGGAGAAGGAGGTATAATTTCATCCAATGCATGCTTGTGTGGGTTCCCCCACCATTCCCTTTCCAGGGCTGAGAGCTGGTTTAAAAAAGCCCCCTCTGCAGCTTCCCATGGTAAGATGAGGGCTGGTTTCTAGGGGCAGGTGACAAAGAGAAGAATGCTGCTTACAGATAGAAAGGGCCCTAGTATATAACCCGGCTCATTGGGATTCAAAAAAGTATTTGTCTTTTCCCCTCCCATAAATGGGGGGCAGGATGTCATGTGCAGCAAAGTCAAGACAGGTCTGGGGTCTATTCCCAACTCTGCCATTAAGCTGCCGGGGTGACCTTGGGCCTGTCTCTTTGCCCCTGCCTTTGCCCCAATGCTGCTGTTTCTTTTTCGGCTGAGCTAGGTTTGTTTGGATTGTGAACTCATCAGAGTTGGGGCACTGCATCTACCTGGCACAGCAGGGGCCCACTGAGCTCAGTTTGGGGGGGAGGTCTCTGCAGGCCTGTTGTCAGCTGAGACTGCTAAGCCTTGCTGTAACACAAATAACTTACAACACAGTCCACATCTTTTGTCACCGTCCCTTCATCCCCCAGCTCTCATCAAACCCCGCAGTTCGGGTGGAGTGTCGGGTTTTTTGTTTTCATCTCCATTGTCTCTGCAGAGCCAACATTTTAATTTCTCCTGTTTTTAAATAAGGGATTTCTTTGTTTTTAATCACCCTTGACTGGAGATGATATGAAGCAGCGAATTGTGTCTTCTGTCTCTCTGGTCATTTGCACTTCCTCTTGGGCTTGGGTTCCTGACAAAGGCAGGGGAGAGAGGTGAGGGGCATTTCTCAGCACCACCAATGGGCCCAGAGATGAAAAGAGGACCACTCCCTGGTGCTAGCTGATGTGCAGATTCCTGCCCCCTGACATAGATTAGGGCCCTTCCCATTGTACCACATTCTGCAAACACACCAAAAGAGGGTCCCTGGCCAGTCCGCACAGAGAACAGTGTGTTTATGCCCATTTTACTGTTGGGGAAACTGAGACAGGGGTCAACATTAATACATCGATCCCACACTGGTTCCTGAGCAGTACCCAGCCTGAAGTGTTCATAGGCTCAGGGAACATAAACGTTCATTAGAAGGCAGTTGAAAGACGAGGGTTAATAATAAAAGGGGAGGTTTGGTGAATTTCTTTCCTCTCTGGGATATATTTGGCCACTTGCTAGGAAGTTTTGGCTTGTCCGCTCCACTATGCCAAGGTCCTGAAGAGGGTGTGCTACTATTGTATCTTTGGACAGGGACTGCCTCTTGTTGTGTAGCACATGGCTCCATGGGGCCTTGATCTCAGCTGGGGCAGGGACTGTCTCTCATTGTGTGTCTGTGCAACACACGGCACCATGGGGCCCGGATCTCAGCTGGGGCAGGGATTGTCTCTCACCATATCAAGGCTGAGTGGTACCAGTGGAGCTGCAGGGGGCTGCGAGTCTGAAATAAGGAGCATCTCTGCTCTCTCCCCAGGTGTGTGCAATGCCTTAGTCCCCAGCTGTGTCTCTAGCAGAGTAAGGGCCCCTCTTTCCCAGCACAGCCATGCCACCACGGCCATCGTCTGGAGAGCTGTGGGGGCTGCATCTCATGCCTCCCCGGATCATGGTGGACTGCTGCCTGCCCAACGGCATCTTGGTCACCCTGGAGTGTCTGCGCGAGGCTGCACTGCTGGGCATCAAACACGAACTCTTCCGAGAGGCCCAGAAATATCCCCTCTCCCACCTGCTGCAGGTCAGATGGACACCTGTGTCATTCTCCAGCTCAGGGTGTGGTGCATGGAGGTAGTTCAGCACAAGGGGGCTGGGTGCCAGGACTCCCAGGTTCTCTCCTGACTCTGGGAGGGAAGTGGGGGCTGGCGGGGGAGAAGAGGGGTAGAGGCTGGTGTTGCACTTGTAGAATAGAACTAACAGAATCTTATTTGGGGATAATAAGGTAACATGCTGCATTTATTGTGAAGGCACAATTCTTTTACTGTCCCTAGGTACAAAAATGCGTACCCCCTCATATGCACAGAGCTCTATAGATGGGACGTAATGGCCAGCCTCAGTTGCCCAGGCTAGTCCCCTGGACAGTGGGATGTGTCACTACGCACCGATGCCCTAGGACAGTGGTTCTTAACCTGGGGTGCACACCCTCCTGGGGGTGCAAGATATGCTAGATTTTTATGATATATCTTAGGTTTAAAACTGACCTACGTCAACAATTTTTAATAAGGGGTGTGAGAACATATTTTGCCAACCAAAGAGGTGCAGGCTGCAGTAAGGTTAAGAACCACTGCTCTAGGAGGATCATTGTAGAACCGAAAGGCCCAATTCTATAGTTTTGCAGCCATCTTTTTGTGTTTTCATCCATAGACCCTGTCCTATCCTCCTGCCCCAGGGCACTGTGTGACCATCAGTCACCAGTTAACAGTAGATGTGATTCTGATCTTTTCTTGATGGCGCTTTTGTCTCTCTTCTTCTGGGGTGGGTTCTTTTGCAGGGCTTGCTCACATTGTTTTTTCGCCGTCAGGGTGGTGCTGGCAGCTGGTCACCCTGACAGGCTGGCTTCAGGGCCTGCTCCCTTGACAACCCGCCTCCCCCCACACACATACATATACACCACACTTTTAAATGAGACTAGGGGGCAGTGCCCCCTGCTTGCTAGGCTCGCCACTTCCCCCGCCCCCCCCATCTCTGGGGTAGGCAGCCCCAGCTCTCTGCCGGCCACCAGGGAGGGCTGGGCCAAGGCGTGGCAGCCCCTGCCTGCACCCTCCCCCCAGCCGCTGGGCCAAGGCTGGCCCAGCCCCAGCTCTCTCCCCTCACCCAGCCATCAGACAGGGCTAAGGCTGGGCCAGCCCTGGCCCTCCCCTGCAGTTGTTGGGCAGGGCTGAAGCCAGATCAACTCCAGCTCTCCCCTCACACACAACCTGTGCTTGAATTTGATGCCTCTGCCTTCATTCCTGAACTCACCAGCCTTCCTAACCCCTCCCCTTGCCCACCCCCACACTGCCCATCCCCCTGCCTCCATTCCTATATCCCCCTCATCCCTACCATCCCCCCTTATTGCACCACCCACCCCACATACACTCCTATCCCCTTCCTCCTCCTCCACACACCCTCTGTCCCCTCCCATGACTTTGTTGCGCTGCGCTCCCCTCCCCCACAGGAACACAGCCCCAGCCATCGCAGCAAGAGCCACAGCCTGCCCCCAGCCCAGCCTTTCCCAACGGGCCTGTTGTGGCAGCTTTGCTCCTCGGTGAGCCCAGGGAGCCCAGACCAGAGGCTCTGGAGAGCCGGGGAAGCAGCTGGGGTGCAAGACTGGCCCAGCTTGTGGTGGGCCCAGGGGAGCACACCTGAGCCTGGGCCTCACAGAGCCAAGCAGCACGGCAGGCGCATGGACTGGGCAGACTGGGGCAGGACCCAGAGGCAGGTGGACATTGCTCCAGGGGGTGCGGGGGATGCAGCTCCTGGGAGAGTGCACCTGAGCCAGGGGCCTGGCCCGAGTTACCGGCACACCGGAGCCACCTGCTCAGTGGGAGGCCTGCAGCACGGCCCCCAAGTGGTGCGAGCATGTAGGCCGGGCTGGCTGGGGGCGGGGCCCTGAGACAGGCAGATGCTGGTCCAGAGGGGCGCATGGGGATGGAGCACCTGCCCCCCCATTTCACAGAGTGGTCACTTGGTCAGGGCTCCTGGGGATGCAGTGACATGACGACATCACTCTGCGGTGCCGCAGGAAAAGGTGTTTTGTACAGATTACATAGACACACCATGGGCATCGGGTATGTAAGGTGGGGAAGGCTCTGCCGTCCCAAGCCGCCCGGCATGCTGCCACCCACACTCTGTAGGCATTCGGGGGGGGGGGGGGGGGCGGC